AAAATATAAAGCCTATTTTTAGGGATATTATGACTTTTTTTTTTTTTTTTTACTTTTTTTTAAATTATTGTCTTGACAATTAAGCATAATTGAAGGAGTTCCTCAAAAAATAAATAAATAAATACAAATAAATAAATAAAATTTTAATTCGTAATGTGAGAGAATTAATACCTGTTTTTTATAACATCATATACTATTTAACATGCATAAGATGCAGCAATTCTTCAATTGCAAAGCATTAAAAAAAAAGTATTTGACAAAAGGATAACATTGACCGCAAATGTGGCTTTTTATTTAAATAATATATTTATTTTAAATGAAATTATTATTAATAATATAATAAAATAATAAATATTATTTATAATTATTAATATTATTTAAGGCTTTGTTGTTATACATAATTGTATTTTAATTGTATAAAATGTATTGAATATTAATTTTTTTTTTTATCTATATTCAATTCAATTCAATTATTTAAATAAATAACCAAACCTATAATTGCCATGTAAGTAATTTTACTGAAATGTCAAATCAAAAATCTTCTACGTCTTACAAATATCCCTAATTTTCTTTATACTAATAAAATATATAATAAATATAAAATATATTTAGATAAAATGTAAATATTTACTTTCGAAGGTAAATTTAGCTCATCTGTTTGTTCACCATTGTAAGCTTTTTTGGTTTTGTGACATAACATTTTTATTGTGCACAGATATTTTAAGGAAGTCAAATGTCAAACGAATCATTATTTTTGTCTGGTTCCAGCGAGACAGAAGCATCTCACTTCAGCGAAGCCATGAAAAATCTCATCTTCAAGACCAACCCTTTAGCTGCGATTGGTGAACACCTGCGAAAACGACTCAAACAGGAAGACGAACAGAGTTAATCGCCACTCTGCAGCGCCGCCCTGTTGGTAGACTTAAAGAACTGTATTTTATTATATGCTGGTACATCAAAACAAGCAAATGCAGTCAAACTGGTTTTATACTTCATAATAGTACATGAAAACGAAGAGGAGTCCCGAGATTTGCATAACTTGCTATATCTGACACCGCATTAACACTATGACGGAAACGGTTTATCGCAGTTTCTCTGTGTAATTTCGTGAATGAGTTTGTGCAAAACGAATTGCTTTAATGATCATGTTACCAGATATTTAATGTGTTTTTGCTCTTGGTAAGATAAAAATAAATCCAGTGGAAAATGACTATGCGTATGTTTTTTTCTTTATTACCAGCACATGCTAAGAAAAGCTTGACTTATAACGATAAAATGGTAAAAAAAAAAAAAAATCCAAATGATTCTTTCCTCACTATAAAATGACTCTACCTGCTGCATTCGTTCATTGAATATCACAGACAAAAGCCTCTACTTAAAGCGCGATCTGATATATCAGACGTTTAGCATGTGCCTCTGTATTTCCATGGTAACTCGTTGCAAAAAGAAGGAAAGGGCGGCATAGCAGCAACACTTTTCAGAGATAAAGGCGAAATGGGAACCTGAACACTGTCATCATTAACCTGACTTCTCTTAACGGCTTTACTCTAGGGGCTCTTGGCTGTCTGATATTGAGGAGGACCTTCTGTTGATTCTCATTTCTGCCAAACTGGATCCTCTTCACAACCCCATCAAATGCTCGGTTGCGTATAAACTCAGCATTATGGAATAGCAGAAGCGTATGTAATGTGTCATGCTTGTGATTAAGTGAGTGAGGAATGTGGGTGTAGATAGTAGATGTTCCTCACCCACACTAGATTCCTCTCAGCGTGTGCTCGTTGGTTTGTCCTAAATCCATTCATTATAGGGTATGATACTAGATGGTGAAATGTGTTCGATTTCAATGACAAGAAGTTAAAAGAAAAGCAACATTTCCATCTTAAAGGGGTCCTATTATGCTCTTTTACAAAGTCTTGATTTTGTTTTGGGGGTGTACTAGAACATGCTCTCATGCTTGGTGGTTCGAAAAACGCATTATTTTTC